CCGGCGGTTGGGGACCCCTGATCTAGAAGCACAATGCAGTTTTACCATCATAGGGCAGGACTCAGACTCTATTCTGAAAAAGCTGCTCCAACTGAATGAGTGGAGTATCAGCCTTGAGAGACTGGAATAAGGAATCACCTGAGACTGATCACTAGGCACTATCAAAACAGCTAGATGAAATTTTGCCTCCAAGCCCTCGGACTTGCAAGACCAAAGACTTTACCTAGAGAGCAGAGCAAAATCGCTCAATAAGGTTCCTATCCTAATGAAACATAGCTAGTGGCAGCCTGATTTAAGAGGCAGTTGTGAACCATATTCTTCTGTTGGAAACAATTATCTGATCTCTTGTTCTGTTGTGTTACTCCTGTGAATTCTAGTCATATAAAATCCTGAAACTCTTGACTTTGGAACTAGGTGACAAATCTGACCTGGCTATCTGAACTCTGGACTGGATTTTGACTTCTGTATATTCCTATTGAAAGCAAAAGCACATAGACAAGCTTTCTTTCCCAGAGATTCTGTTTTGATTTACACTCCTTTTCTTTCCTTGTCTGCTGTTGATCTACTCAGTCTTGAATAAATTTCTATTCTCACCTAGCAACGGTGTGTGTATGAGTTTAAAACCTGAAACAGGATGCTTGGTTTCATGCCCAGATCTGAATCCCAACTGAAAGGGGTGCAGATAATTTGCTTCCATGTTAATCTTCTAAAAAAAACAACACACCACCACCCTTCTCTTTTAAAGAGCCAATGACATCACCCTTTCTCTCAAATAATTCACCATGGTTAAAATCCAATCACGTCACTTTGCAAGATATGGATCTAAATATACAGATGGTTGAGCTAGTGTAGGTAGTCTTCAGTTATTATCCATTCATTCAGTTAATATTTGAAGTTATGAAGGCACTGAATGAAATTTTCAGCCAGGCCTCAAAGTTGTGGCCATCACAGAGTCCTGCGGTCATGATTGCCATTTGCAACCTTCACTGCTGACTGAAAGTCAATGGGGAAGCGGGCAGGTTGCAAATGGTGATTACACGGCACTGTGTCTAACAACTGGAACTGCTTAACTACTATTGTAATGGATGCAACCATCAGTGTAGTCATACGACATTGTACATTATGACTCCATTGCTTAGTGATGGAATTACTGGTTCCAATTACTATTGTTAGCATTTACTCTCCTAAGGCATACTTAACTCATCTTGAGGGCCTTTACTCTGGCACATCCACCTCTCATTTCTCCTTGAGGGTTGATACAAGATCCCTACCCACAGAGACAAAGCCCTTGACTTTGAATATGCAGAAATTACAGAACATGCCCTTTTCCACTGCCTATTCACTAGTCACAGAATTTTATACCTCCCTGCAGCTCTCGGATACCAAGTCTGACACAACATAATGTGGTACACAGCCACACTTAAAATTAATCAGATAACCCATGCCACAAACCAGTTTTATTATCTAGCCTTTTCTTATAGTGCTTTATATTTTTACTTCCGTGTTTCCCTATGTCCATTTATTGTTCCTACCTCTCCATTTAGGATTGTTTTTTATATTTTAGCTTTTTATATATAACTAGCTGGCTACCCGTGCTTCACTACGAAACTATGTGATCCGGCTTAATTTTGGGGGAGGAAAATAAGGAGAAAAAATTCTACCTCTGCCTAGCAGCATCCATCGGTATTCATCTGGCTAGTGTCCTGTCAGTGTGTGAGAATTGAGGGCTACTTAGAAGCAGTAGCAGTGTTTGCTGTGTGTGCAAGGAGACAGCAAGGAGCCTGAGTGTGGCTTAGGTCAACTGTACTGTACTAAAGCTGCTTGCTGCTGTGAAACTAAAACTGAAATCCCTCTTTTCTGCTTGTCTTTTGCAGGTGGGGGGAGGGGAGTACAACTTCTTAGCATCAGTGTGTTGATAATAATATAGGAAATGCAAATGCTCTGATGGTCATTTTGAAAAATCCTTTCTTAGTGAGCACCTAGAAGCCAAGAGGAACATACGTGCCAAATTTCAAGTTTGTAGGCTTTATGGTTCTGGAGATTTTGTGATGAGTGAGTAGTATTATATGCATTTTTTAATATTCCCCTCATGTTGGCCTGACCTTAATAAAGGTTTGGTTTGATCTGTTAGCCCAGCGCTACCTGTTACCCCAAAACTCTACAGATATTCCTTATGACTGTAATATAGCTTGCCTATTACAGTCCTAAGTCATGGCAGTTGTAAAATGGGTTATCTATGTAACTGACCTATTTTATGTCGGTCATTAAGCAAGCTCATTGTTTGCTGAGCCAATTTTTCCAAAACCCCCAGAAGTAAATGCCAGGTTTTGGCAGAAATACCATAAAACAATTGTGACTGTAGGAGGCTGCAAATGGCCATACATGGGAGCCAGTTACTGAGTGCCCAAAATGTGGCCAGGTGAATGCAGTGTGTGTGTAAGAGATAGTTGGAATTGTGTCGTGAATACCCCAGGAAGTCAATGTAACAATGACTGGTCATTAAGCAACTTTATCCACTTATCATGCCTAATTACTTCAAACTACTCCCAGATAACCAAGCCAT